TTTCATGCAAAAGGGTCAGCAATGCCAGCCCCAATGTCTCTCCCACTATAGTTTTTCTTTCATGCGTTCCTGTCCTGTAGAAATTGCTTTTCAAATCTCCCTCAAGCAATAAGGGCTTGTTCATGCCAAAGAGCTGCACTGAATGTATGGCCGCTAGTGTGCACTACTTTTTTTTTTTTCAGAGAACTTTACTGAAATGTAATCTTTGCGTTGGCTCTCATTGCAAAATTAAGGGAGACAGTACAGTTACAGTCAGAATTGATGGGGAATTACCTGATAACATAATAAACAAGGCATTTTGCCCTGCCTATGTATTGGAGCTGTGCAAGGAAATAGTGTCCAGTGTAGCACCTATGTACAGTTGTGTCCAAAATTATTCAACCCCCACTGAAATTGAGTGTTTTGGCCAGTTTGACATTGCTTTTGATCATTCAGTCATCTTGCTTACATTTACATTAAAGAGGCACTTGTAGGTCAGACAAATATAACATAACAGTTATAATGAAATAACCACAAATGTCTTTTCTGTGCTCACAGCATTATCAGTTTTATTCAACCCCCAAGTGACATTCAATCTTAGTACTTAGTACAGCATCCTTTTACAGTTATAACAGCTTTTAAACGTGAAGCATAGCTTGACACAAGTGTCTTGCAGCGATCTACGGGTATCTTCGCCCATTCTTCATGGGCAAAGGCCTCCAGTTCAGTCACATTCTTAGGCTTGCGCACTGCAACTGCTTTCTTTAAGTCCCACCAGAGGTTCTCAATCGGATTTAAGTCTGGTGACTGCGATGGCCACTCCAAAATGTTCCAGCCTTTCCTCTGCAACCATGCTCTAGTGGACTTGGAGGTATGCTTGGGATCATTGTCCTGTTGAAAGGTCCAACGTCTCCCAAGCCTCAGGTGTGTGACGGACTGCATCACGTTTCCATCCAATATCTCCTGGTACTGAAGAGAATTCATGGTACCTTGCACACGCTGAAGCTTCCCTGTACCTGCAGAAGCAAAACAGCCCCAAAGCATGATTGACCCTCCACCATGCTTCACAGTAGGCAGGTGTTCTTTTCATCATAGGCCTTGTTCTTCCTCCTCCAAACATAGCGTTGATCCATGGGCCCCAAACAGTTCTAATTTTGTTTCATCAGTCCACAGAACACTATCCCACAACTTTTGTGGTTTGTCCACATGGCTTTTGGCATACTGCAGTCGACTCTTCTTATTCTTTGGAGACAGCAAGGGGGTACGCCTGGGAGTTCTGGCACGGAGGCCTTCATTACGCAGTGTGCGTCTTATTGTCTGGGCTGAAACTTCTGTACCCACATCTGACAAATCTTTTCTCAGTTCCTCAGCAGTCACACGGGGACTTCTCTCCACTCTACGCTTCAGGTAGCGCACAGCAGTCGAAGTCAGCATCTTCTTTCTGCCACGACCAGGTAGCGTTTCAACAGTGCCCTTTGCCTTGAATTTGCGAATGATGCTTCCTAAGGTGTCTCTTGGTATGTTTTTAACATCTTTGCAATCTTCTTATAGCCATTGCCCTTCCTGTGAAGAGAAATCACCTCTTCTCTTGTCTTCCTGGACCATTCTCTTGCCTTCACCATGTTTGTAACCACACCAGTAAATGTCTAGAAGGAGCTGAGTATCACAGTCATTTTAAAGCTGCCTAATTGGTGCTTTATTATGCTTGATTGCTGCTCGGTGACATCCACAGGTGTTTTCAATACCTGATGGAAAGCACCTGTATGAACCTCTGTTCTTCAGAGTGGTAGTCTTTAAGGGGTTGAATAATTGTGGCAATGAAGAAACCACATAAGAACCATTTACTACTGTATTACATAAACAATTGATGTCATTTTAGTTGCATTTGGGTAGTTACAACGTCCTTGTAGGATTTGATTCTGAATACAATTCCAAATGTACACTATAGTCCCTAAACCCCTTTACAGCATTGGGGGTTGAATAATTTTGGACACAACTGTATCTGGTGTGAATGGCCTTACGTTTTTTTGGTCTCTGCCATGGAGCAGATTCGGTCTACCACCTAACCAATGCATCAGCTCTGGATATGTGACCTAGCGGCAGCACCAGCATCTTCCTAAAAGAAAAGTATTAAAAAAGCTACTGTAACCAGTTCAGTATTTTAAAGCTCAATCAGCCACTTTAAAGATATTTCTTGTTTATCCAGAATTCATTTAAATATCTCATTGGTGACATGCAACAATGCAGAAGTGTGCTATTTTCTGTCAACAGCAAGCTTTTCAGCCCTAAACACTTAAAGCAGTAATAAACCCAAAGCCAAATATGTAATATATACCAATCATTAGATGTGGTGGCCATATTAGTATTTTTTAGGCTCCCATCCCCCGCTTTGTGATCTGGCCAGTAATACACCTCCTGTATTATACAGACACCACTCTGGATGAAGGAGCACAGAAGGCAGATTTGGGCAGCAGTCAGTCTGAGGGGAGGGTAGTTTTATATCTGAGATTGTCAGTCTGAGGGGAGGGTAGTTTTAGATGTCTTAGAAGATTTAAATATACAAAAAAATGTAATCCAAACTCCAGCTAACACTTTATAAGCAGTTTTTTTTCCTTTTGGGACAAAGGTTTTACATAAATAAATAAAAGCAAATAATTTTAAGTACACTTCTGCCAGTGTTAAATGGTCTGTTTCATTCTTGTAACACCAAGACAGCATGTTCTTTTGAAAAACAACAGACTTACTGGCTGGATCACCAGATGAAAAGAGAAAAAATAAGGCTTAAAAAAAAGGAAACTAATAGCGTCATCACATGTAAGAATTCTTAAGCCACAATATACCGTATTTGCCGGCGTATAAGACGACTTTTTGACCCTTGAAAATCTTCTCAAAAGTCGGGGGTCGTCTTATACGCCGGTACACATGTTTAGGGGGGCTGCGGCATTAAGTACAGGGGTTTGCAGGGGCTGATGTCTCTTACCTGGATCCAGTCCCACGACGATCCGGTCCAGGAAGCGCGGCGTCTCCTTCAGTTCGGCCACTGGATGTTCGTGCGGCTGCTCGGCTCCGCCTCCTCACCGGTGATTGGCCGCCAGAACTGTAGCTCAGGAAAGGCACACAGGCGGCCAATCACCGGCGAGGGGGCGGAGCCGAGCGGCCCCGCGAAAATTGAGTGCCGGAGCAGCAGGTAAGTGTTCTGTGTAGAGGTGCTGCTGCAACCACATATGCTGGCTGCAGCAGCACCATACGAGAACAGGGTCAGCAAGTCTCAGTGGGAGGAATAGTGCCCCATCATTGGTGTCACTGATACCAATGATGGGGCACTATTCCTCCCACTGACACCAACGATGGGGCACTATTCCTCCCCCCCACTGACACCAATGATGGGGCACTATTCCCCCCCCCACTGACACCAATGATGGGGCACCATTCCTCCCACTGACATCAATGATGGGGCACTATTCCTCCCACTGACACCAATGATGGGGCACTATTCCTCCCACTGACACCAATGATGGGGCACTATTCCTGCCACTGATACCAATGATGGGGCACCATTCCTGCCACTGATACCAATGATGGGGCACCTATTCCCCCCACTGATACCAATGATGGGGCACTATTCCTCCCACTGATACCAATGATGGGGCACTATTCCTGCCACTGATACCAATGATGGGGCACTATTCCTCCCACTGACACCAATGATGGGGCACTGTTCCTCCCACTGACACCAATGATGGAGCACTATTCCTCCACTGATACTAATGATAGGGCACTATTCCTGCCACTAATGCCAATGATGGGGCACTATTCCTGCCACTAATACCAATGATGGGGCACTATTCCTCCCCACTGGTGTGCATTGGAAGAGGGGTAGTCTTATACGGCGAGTATAGCCCAAACACTACATTTTAGCAGGAAAAGTAGGGGGGGTCGTCTTATACGCCGGCAAATACGGTAATAAATGTTTGATTTTGGGCTTAATACTGCTTTAAAAGGGGAAAACAATTGTTGCACTAGCTGCATACATAGGAGTACTTACCATGAATTCCAGACAAGGACTAAGCAATCCCTGGCACTCGGTACATAAAAGCTTAATTAAGATACAGATGAGCACTTCATGAAAGACTTGCTTCAGGTTACGCTCTGACACGTTTCAATAGATGTGGACTAAAGCGTCTATACAGGTTTGACGCTGCAATCACAGTGTACTGCTCTTCTCAATAAGCCCTTCCGTCAGAGAAAGTTTAAGGTGGAACTACACTGTATCTGAGCACCACAAACCAAAAACTATTTAATTCATGTTTAATGTTCAAAGTAAACTCTTCCATCCATTTATGCATTATTTTGCTGAGAAATAACTTTGAAAAACAAGCCCTAGCATTTCTGACAGAGGCCATCTTAAGTAAGGGCAGATGGTTCATGTAGCACTTACTTCCTGGAATACATCTGTCCTTAGCTCAAGCTTGAAAGGAGGTGGGTATGCTTAGCTGAAAAAACCCTCCTCCCCCCCTGAAGACTCCTGAGATGTATGACATAATTTGCCTAGGCATGGAAACCAGGGAGTAACTGGAGAAATGTTACAAAAAAACATTTAAAACAAGAAAATATGATATACTTTCCTATCTATTTACTAATGCTAACAGCATAAGGAATAAAAATAGTCAATGTTGACAGAGAGTGAAGTTCCACTTTAACTGTCTCAAATGAAACACCGGTATTGCTGAATGCATGTCTGTATTTAACATCTTAATGCTTGTTATATATGGGCAAATAATTCCACAAATCTACTAAGAGTATTTCCCTCCTTGTAAGTCAGCAAGGCAACATGGGTGCAATCCAGGACATCATGTTATAAAGATCCAATAACAGAATACAAATATCTAATTACACTGTCATAAAGAGATATTTACATTACAAGTCAGGTATATTTCTAGTTAGGTCTGCTCAGTTTTAGAGAGCATAAAGCAGCTGACATCACACAACATTAACAGGTATAGTACAGGTTTGCTTCTTACCGTGATACTGTTCCGCTGTCCTTCTCCTTAGATCCTCCAAACTCTCCTCAGTGTCCGCCCATTCCAGGACCAGCCTTCGGCCATACAAATGTGTACTGTGACAAAGAGCATTAAAAGCCCTCTGTATTGGGGGGAGAGGAACTGAGCATTAAAATAAAGATCAGTGGCTTTCCAATTATACAAAAGTGAAAACTGAGCCTTTAGGAGGTCTAGGCCTGTGTTAGAAAGTATAACCAGTACAAGAAACCTTAAATTTTAATGTAGTACAATGTCTAGTAAATTATAAAATACAACTTGGCTTCTAAAACTCAGATTCCAAAATAAATTATTGCTGCCTGGAGCCTGAAAGTGGCATGATCGTGTTGGTTTATGAAGGCCAAACTTCCTATAATAAAAGGTCTCAATATAAGACATCAACATAAATTAACAATTCTTGAACAAACATAGAATATTCACTGGTGTCCACAGTTTCTTGGTTTAAAAATTAACAATGGCCCTTACTTGTGTGAAGGCATCCTATACTAAAGATACAATACAGGGAAGTCTGGTTGAACACATCTGGAATCATTGCATAAATGCCAAGTGGTGCTTAGCCTGGAAGCAATTGTGCAGCAATATATTCAGTATGAAGGATCAGGGTGCAAAAAAGCCCCCCAAAAAACTCAAACATTAAACATGAGGTTTGTGTTATAATTTAAATTAAATCCCTTGGTTTTCAAAAGTCATTTTCTGCCATGTATAAATAATTAAACAAAACTGGCAGATTTAGATCTCAAACAGTATGTTTTATAAAATCATATCCTTGGAAAGCCATTGATAAAAGTATTGTATATGTATGTACCAAGTGATTTTGCCATGTTAAAAAGCATTTACTTTCTTGCAATCCCCACAAATAAAGGTGAACACAAAAGTCAAATAGGTCAAGGACGCAAACCATTATTGCACACTGATGTCTACAGATTTAAAGGAAGCCATTCTTTCTTTCATGGGTCACAGGTTGCCTTTGCTTGTATCTTGTGTCAGAGGTAGCCAAGGCTGCGGCATAACAGATTTGAAGACAGAGACTGGGTCGAGACACAGTGTGAGCCAAATATTACCAGAACTGAGAATGTAAGAGTACAAATGAGGATGTAATTGGAAGGTCTTGCTCAACATAAACAGCATCTAAACATCACCCCCTCTGCCTGTTTATTTACACAGATGCATCACTTGTTAATTGAGAAACAGGCAGTGTGAAAACAGCTATTTAGGGGGGAGGTGGGAGTTTGAGAACAGGATCCCCATGTCTAGAGGGGAAAAAAAAGTGAGGCACAGAAGATAATGGAAAAAAGCTGCAGAAAAGACTAGCTGAGACACTGCTGTATAAAAAGTAAGAGCAAGGAGTGGGGTAAGACCTGTGTGTGAAAAGCACATATGGGCAAACGGTAACTGAGTACTGTTAGTTTGCCAAGAGTCTCATTATTCTCATCATTTACTGAAAGTGACAGCTAAAGCAGAATTTTACCACATTTGTATCTACAGCCATGTAAATCACTGTTTGAGAACCATGCCTTCTCTTGACCTCTATTTTCTCACCTTAGCATCTTGTTTAGTTACAAAGTCCACAAAGCCAAAACCCCGATGTGCTCCTGTGCCAGCCATCTTCTTTGGTAGACGTACAGTCTTCAGTTCTCCGAAAGTGCTGCATTGAGGGACAGCAATAGATGTGAGAATCTGACACTATATTCCAGCAGTCTAGTACCATTTAGAGCACAAGAAACTAAATCCTTCTTAGTTTTCTTCTCTTAAAGTTACCCTTTTTAATGGTTTATCATGTTTTGTAACCTAATTTAACCTGGAATTATGAATAAATGTAAAAATAAAAATAAACTCTCATAAGCTTTAACATGTTAATGCAGTTTCAAGTCATTTTCAAAATGTCTAAACCTGCAGTTTTCATTTAAATTATACATTGTGATCCTGCCATAAAAGGTCAATGTTATGTATAATCTGACTTTCTTTTATTTTCTGTAGATTATAAATAAACAAAACAAAGCTGTTTCAGACAAGATCAAGACAAAAGGCTCCATTCACATCTGAGTGTTCCAGGAATGCACAAGAAATGCACCAAACTATGCACTGCATAGATCTTAATGGCACCCCAAACACGAAAAAAAAAAAAAACAAAAACACGCCAAGCTCTGCACTCAGGAATACTTCCAAAAATCACTGTGAACAGTTCGCTGTGTCTTCCAAAAATGCAAGGTAAATCTCTATCATGCAAAAAATGCCATATCTGAACATAATCCAGAAATGTTGCCGTCTTCTCTGCAACAGACCATTTTAAATGGGTTTTGGCCCAAAGGGGAAAACTGTTCTGTAGTCACATAAGTCAAAATGTGATACTCATTTTGGCCACCATGGGTGCAGCGTTCTCTGGACTAAAGAGGAGAGGGACCTTAGGCTTGTTATCTGCACTCAGTTCAAAAGCCTGCATCTCTGATGAGATGCGGGTTAATTAATGCGTATGGAATGGGCAGCTGGCACATCTGGAATACACCATCAATGCTGAAAGATACTGTATATCCTGGGTTTATAGCAGAACATGCTCCCATCCAGACATCTTTTTCAGGGAAGGACTTGCATATTTCAGCAGAACAATGTCACACCTCATACTGCATCTACGTTAACAGCATGGCTTCGTAGTAGAAGAGTCCGAGTACTTTTACCACTTGAAAATATCTGGCACATCTTGAAATGAGAAAATAAAACAAAAGACCCAGGACTGTTGAGCAGTTAGAATCCTATCAGGCAAGAATGGGAAAACATTCCTCTACCAAAACTCCAGCAACTGGTCACCTCAGTTCCCAGATGTTTACAGTGTTGTTACAGAGTGTTTTGAGACGTGTTGCTGCCATCAATTTCAAAATGACCTTATTTTTTTCCTAAATAGGTACATTTCCTCAGTTTAAACATTTGATATGTTTTCCATTTTCTATTATGAATAAAATATGGGTTTATGAGATTTGAAAATCATTGCATTCAATTTTATGTAGATTTTACACAGTGTCCAAACCTTTTTGGAATTGGGGTTGCATTTAGTTTACCCCGCTCATCCTTGGCGCCTAGACAATATTGGCGTCACTTTCTTTTCAATAAAGGAGATGCTGAGTAGCCCAGATCTCGCTAGAAGATGTTACTGCTCTGTTCTAGAGAGTCATTTTACTAGATTTGGGCTCTTTTATATTTCACCGATTCTTGTCAGGAGGATAGTGATGCATGGAGTGCAAGTCCCAGTTTAAAAAAGAGGCTCCCTACAATATTTTTTAGGGCTTTTAAAGATGGACACAGTGCAGACGTACATTCAGCACCCCCATGAACACAGTAAGCATTCACTTAGTGCTTGATGCTGTCCCAGGTAATGGCACAAACTATAGAATCATGCCACTTTAAGCAGATCTATACCAAAACACGTGGTAAATATTCTTAAAATGCCAAGTGCTCCCTTTGGGGCGTTAGTTTGTACAAGGCATTAGGCCCTCTAGGCATGGGTGTCAAAATAGGGCACCTAATATGCATTGCTAGCACTCCCTGATGCCCTCAGCTAAAACAGCACAGTAAGCTGTACAGCAATTTACACACCAATGCTCAGCAGCTTAGTACAGATTTAGCACAGGTACTTAAAAATTGTTGGAAGACTGGACCAGATGTTAAGCATGCAGAGAAACTCAGAAATGATATATGATAACAGCTTTGTCTCAAATATCTTTGTCTATAATAAGATATAATTAACAGGTTCATTACATAACACAACTCAAGTTTTTAGGTTTGCTGGCCCTTTAACTACCACGATTCCCCATAATAAAGCAGTTTTCAGAAGAATATATGAAACATTTTTCTTTGCCCTGCTCTCCCCAGGTCTCACTCCCTCCTCTACCTATAGTTCATGCTACAGGCAATAATCCTGTTACAGAAAAATAACAGAACGAATGTGGGATGCATTAAATCCTCGCAGGAATGTTTTTCTTACAAGAAAAGCCTTTACTGCCCCAGACATTAAATCTTGGAGCCAACTCCTTTCAGAGCCCCCCCCCCCCCCCCCCGAACACCTCAAAAGATGCTATCCCCCACGAGATCTTTAAAAATAGTGTTTAGTCCACACAATGTGTCTTCAGTGCATACCAAGGACATAGAGAACAACAAAGATAGTCAAGCATGAACACTGCAGTGTTGCCAAACAGTGACATGAAAAAAGACACAAGGTCACTCAGTTCCATTGGGCACAACACTACACACACTGCACAACACAATACACAGATATTCACAATCAGGTGGTAATAAGATGACAAGATGTTGTAACATTACATACAGCATACTAATGTATGACTCTCCCCACATATACTTGCTCAAAGCAGAATTCCAAAGCACATTCAATACATACAATACCACAGCTCCCCCTGGTGAAATTTTTAAATTACACCAACACAGAATAAAAGGCTTACGAACCTGAACAGCTCTCGAATTTCCTTAACAGTAGCCTGGAAGGGGACATTTCGAACCAGAATCTTCGAGGTCTTCTGTTTTTTACTTATCTGTTTCTTGCGATCAGTAGACACCTTTTCCCTGCAATTAGCAAAATATAGGCTTTTTATTACATGTAAACTCTATACTAATAACTACTTCTACAATATATTTTAAAGTGGTTGTAAACCCTTACGTGTACCCAATGAAGTGACTAGCCTCAGATGATCCACAGAGATAAAACAAATCCTCCTGCATAAGTTGTACCTATTATTTGCAGCCATTTGTCCTGTACAGTCTTTAAAAACTCAGAGATGAAAAGGATTTTTCACAGACTCACTCAGCAGGGGGCAGGGAGCTACAGTTACAAACTGTACAAGAGCTCTGAGAGTTTATTAAAGGAAAGTGGTACACCCCCTTCACAGCGCACACAGGAACAGAGTTGAGACTGTCAATCACAGGCTGTGTGCTGGAGCTCCCTCCCAACACCTTTTTACTTCTTGGTGTCAGGAAAATTTGTCACAATTCACCCATTGACAAATACGCGTCTTGTTCAGATTTCATGTCAGAGGTTTACAGCCACTTTAAGCATTAGAGTTACTGTTTTATTGTCTATTTATCAAACATGGAAAATCTCTTTAGGTGTAAATGTTTTCCCTATTTATTCAATATTATTCAGTTAAAAAAACAAAGAGTGCAAAATCATCTGAATGCAGTCCTGTTTAATTATAATGCACTTTCCAAGAATAAAAATATGACTGGCATCTCTCAGACTAGCAAGAGATCTCCTATAGAGATAATGTACTTCACCAACTGTGACTTGCAGCACTCATACCAGCAGTATACCCTTAAGAGTTTAAGTTCAAATATGTTGTTAAATAGACCCCAACTACACCTGTAATAGACTTCTGAAAATGTATGGGAGAGTAAATGGCTGTGGAACAGTTTACATTGAAAATCTTGTTTTAGTGACAAAAACAAAATATGATTTTTGTAAAAAGGAAGTCTCGCACATTCATGATGTGCAAAAGAGGACAGTCTGGGGGGGGGGGAATATATCTGAAGCTTGAACCAGATAAAGTTGCAACCTCCACCCAGGAACGAAAAATGTGAGAATAAAAACAGCAGGTGGCAACCTAGAAAGGAGAACCAATGCCTGATGCCAGAAGAACAAGAAAACAGATAACCCAGTGAGGAATGTCTTGACAGGGATGAAGGACACCTATTCATAAGACCATAAGCTTTGTAACTGGTTTACCTGATCCATCCAAAAGGGAGAAAAAACTGAGCAGTCTACAGGAACCAACTAGTACGACCAACAGAGACGCAATACTGAGAATAAAAAGTTCACAGCCTGAACAGTGGTCAATACAGAAAAGAAGCTCCTGTTGGAGGGCTAGTGCTGGACTGAGGAACCAAAAAAATTGGATGTTTTTCTATATACGTGTAAAATCAATTTCTTGGAGTATATCAAGAGCAGGCTATTCGTGACTATGTGGGTTTTATGCCACCTATAGGTGAATGGACACTGGCTGGCTAATCAGAGAAGTCCCCCCTATATACAACCCCTCCTACACAGGAAGTACTTTAGTTTTGTAGCAAGCAATAAAATTCCAGAAAGAGGGGAGAGACCTCTGTGTCCTGTATGTACTCCAAAAAATGGATTTTAAAAGGTAAGTATGTAGAAAAAAAAATCCAAATTTTCTTTATTGTACATTACGGAACATGTGGGATGTCCTACAACAAAAAAAAAAAAAAAAAAAAAAAAAAAAAAAAAAACTTTGAGAGGTGGGTGACACCATATTAGCCACCGCCATCAATCCCTTATGACCTATTCAGCCATTCATAATATGCTGCAGCCAAAGGCAGAATCCACCGTGGCAGAACCTTGTAAATGTATGGACTGAAAACCATGTAGCGGCCTTGCAAAACTGAGCAACTGACGCCTACTGGCAGATAGCCCAAGACAAACACTCTCCTACTAGAGTGTTCTCTCAGCCAAAAGGATGGGACTTTAACCTTCAAATCATGGGCTTGAATCATTAACTGGCAGATCCAAATGAAAAATAGCTGACTTGGATGCCGCCTGCCCTTTCTGGGCCCTTCTGGCAACACAAACCAGGATTCCTGACCTGTGTTCTTCCAATTCAAGTAAATCCTGTCCATCTGAAATACATCCAGAGTAGGCAGCGTTCTTTCCCCTGCCGACTGTGGACTAAGAAAAAATAAAGGCAAGACACGGTCTTGATTTAGGTGAAAACTAAAAACCACTCTAGGCAAGAAGATGGATGAGGACACAACAGCATCCTATCATGATGCCATGAATGGCTCCTTATATGAAATATTTGACACTCTTCCTGCCAAAGTGGTAGTAACCAAAGAAGCCACCTTTCAAGTCAAAGGACTAAGTTTCTTTAGCTGGTTCAAAGGAGGCCTCTGCAAGGACAACCAAAGCTGCAAGGACACAAGGGCAGCCTGACAGATGGGACTGTCCGTGTTATACCCTGCATGAAGTACCAATCAAAGAGTGAGAACAAGGGTCTCTGAGAAAAAAAGGATAGAGCCAAAATATGACCATAAATGGTATTTAAGTTTAATTTCATTTCTCCTCCTGATTGGAAAAAGGAAAAAAACCTTACAATCACACATTTCCGGGGGTGCTACTTCCTGGCCTCCCACCAGGCAAATAAGATTTACAAGTCCTGTAATGGAAGCTCACCGAAGCCAGCTTTCTAGCACTCAAAAATGCAGAGAAAATAGGACCCAAGATCCCTCGACCTTACCAGACCTGGCATTAAATAGCCAAGCCTTCAATCTTAGCAATCGTAAACAGGATACATTATTGGACCCAAGACAATAGGTTTGGGTGAACCGGAAGTGTCCAAGGACCATTTCCTGCCAGATACACTATGGCTGTGTATTAAGCTTTCCTGGACTAGGATGGGCTACCGCTATTAGTGTTACCTCCTCTCGGACCCTGCATAAAAGACATAGGCAATAGTTGAGTCGGGGGAAAGCACAGATTATGGGGAACTGGTGTTACCAATGCATCTACCCCAACGCCAGTGGGACTCTCAACATAGACACAACCTGTTTAACTTGTTGTAGAACCTGGAAGTCAGTAAATCCACACTGAGAGTTCCCCAATGCTGGCAGATTGCTGAGAACGTCTCGGGATGCAGGAACCATTCTCCCTATCAGCCGCTGACCTCAGGAGGAAAAAATAAAAAACCCTTGCCAGTTTCCTATACCTGGAATATGTACTGCCGACAGAGACAGCGCATGCTGTTCTGCCCCAGCAGAATGTGGTTCACCTGTTCCTGAACCGTATAACTCCTGCTGCCGCCCTGGTGGTTGATATACGCCACTGCCGGACCGAGCCTGACCACAAACCGGTGCAATCGGTTCGTCCAATAGTCTAGAGCAAGGTGTACTACCTGAAGTTCCAAGACATTGATGGGCAGTATTCTCTCCTGTGGAGACAAAGTTTCCTGAACTGTAGCCACCTTTAAACCAGCCCCCCCAACCAGAGAGACTGGCATAGATGATTACTATCTTCATTATCACTGGCAGGAAAATTACCCCTTCTCTAGATACTGAACAACCACCAATTCGGACTCTGCAATACCCCGGGGACAAAGTCCTCTGGCAATCCAATGCTTGGACTTGATCCAGATAGAAAGTTCCTCTACAAAAGACCTGGAGCGGAACCGCACAAAGGAAACCACTTCAACATAGATACCATTGCCTCATGCAGAGATGTACTAAAAGGATACCTTTTGCTTCTTATGTTCCACTTTAAACTTAAAACCAATTGCTCCCTGGGCAATGGAACATTAAGGTATTCTGAGACTGACATCACCCCCTGTTCTCAGCAAGCCCAGCACCAGGGCAAAGACCCTTGCAAACACTCAAAGGGCTGTGGCCAGCCCAAAGGAGAGTGCCCCAAAACAAAAAAAAAAAGTCGATTTTTTACTGCAATCACAGAAACCCTCGATGAGCGTAAAAAAATTGACACATGAAGATATGCATCATTGAGAACTATCTCTTGCAGAGAAGCCACCACTGATTGGCCTGATCCCATCCAAAACAGAAGGACGTCTAGACTTATGTCTTGTGCCTTGAGACCTAAGCTAGACCTCACACCCCTGTTTGGTTCTGGGCCTGCGAACCCGTCGAGTGTCTCAAATCACCTCAGAGACTGCCCTAGCATGCTCTGCCCGAGATACTACTCAAGACACAGGCGTCTCAGACTCTGAAGGGGAAAAGAATACAACACCTGGTATTGCCAGGCAGTCTCCCCTTCAAATACTAACCAGAGCTGACCCTGCTTAGCTTCAGAGTTCAGACGAGATCAAGTGCATTAAGGGTAATGCAGCCACAGTCCATTGCAGCTCCACCACCAGGAATAGCTGCAATGGCAGACAAACACAGCGGCCTATATACCCCCTGACACCAGTGGTTTATCATGAAATGCGAACACCACCAGACGGTGTCTGGTCATGCAGCTTCCCCACAGGTAATACTCGCACATCATCCAGCCATAGACTGCTCAGTGTCCCTGGTATCTCTTTAATGTCTAAACCGCTGGAAACAAAAGGGAGTACACCCCTAAGTGAAAATGTCCAAATTGGGCCCAAAGTGTCAATATTTTGTGTGACCACCATTATTTTTCAGCACTGCCTTAACCCTCATGGGCATGGAGTTCACAAGAGCTTCACAGGTTGCCACTGGAGTCCTCTTCCACTCCTCCATGACGACATCACGGAGCTGGTGGATGTTAGAGACCTTGCGCTCCTCCACCTTCAGTTTGAGGATGCCCCACAGATGCTCAATAGGGTTTAGATCTGGAGATATGCTTGGCCAGTCTATCACCTTTACCCTCAGCTTCTCTAGCAAGGCAGTGGTCATCTTGGAGGTGTCTTTATGTTGGAATACTGCCCTGCGGCCCAGTCTCCGAAGGGAGGGGATCATGCTCTGCTTCAGTATGTCACAGTACCTGCTGGCATTCATGGTTCCCTCAATGAACTGTAGCTCCCCAGTGCCGGTAGCACTCATGCAGCCCCAGACCATGACACTCCCACCACCATTCTTGACTGTAGGCAAGACACACTTGTCTTTGTACTCCTCACCTGGTTGCCGCCAGACACGCTTGCCACCGTATGAACCAAATAAGTTTATCTTGGTCTCATCAGACCACAGGACATGGTTCCAGTAATCCATGTCCTTAGTCTGCTTCTCTTCAGAAAACTGTTTGCGGGCTTTCATCGGCATTATCTTTAGAAGAGGCTTCTTTCTGGGACGACAGCCATGCAGACCAATTTGATGCAGTGTGAGGAGTATGGTCTGAAACTGACAGGCTGAGCCCCTACCCCTCCAATCTCTGCAGAAATGCTGGCAGCACTCATACGTCTATTTCCCAAAGACAACCTCTGGATATGATGCTGAGAATGTGCACTCAACTCCTTTGGTCGACCATGGCGAGGCCTGTTCTGAGTGGAATCTGTCCATATAAAACCGTTGTTTGGCTTTGTCCACCATGCTGCAGCTCAGTTTCAGGGTCTTTGCAATCTTCTTATAGCCTAGGTCATCTTTATGTAGAGCAACAATTCTTTTTTTCAGATCCTCAGAGAGTTCTTTGCCATGAGATGCCATGTTGAACTTCCAGTGACCAGTATGACAGAGTGAGATCAAAAGAACACCAAATTTAACACACCTGCTCCCCATTCACAACTGAAACCTTGTAACACTAATGAGTCACATGACACTGGGAAGGGAAAATGGCTAATTGGGCCCAATTTGGACATTTTCACTTAGAGGTGTACTCACTTTTGTTGCCAGCGGGGTTTAGACACTATTGGCTGTGTGTTGAGTTATTTTGAGGGGACAGCAAATTTACACTGTTATACAAGCTGTACACTCACTACTTTACATTGCGGCAAAGTGTCATTTCTTCAGTGTTGTCACATGAAAAGACAGAATAAAATATTTACAAAAAAATGTGAGGGGTATACTCACTTCTGTGAGATACTGTACGTAGATCAGTAAGTAGCCCATGTTACATCATCATTAACCCCTTTCCGCCGCCACCTCCCGCCCTTTAACCACCTCAATACCGGGCACTCTTACCCGCTCCCAATTTGCAGCACTCTTGCACTTTGCATGATAATTATGCGGTCATGCAACGCTGTGCCCAATGTAAATTTTTATCATTTTGGTTACACAACTAGAGCTTTCTTTTGGTGGTATTTAATCACCACTGTGCTTTTTTTCTTTTTGCTAAATTAACAAAAAAAGAACAAAATTAAAAAAAAAAAACAAAAAAGCTTTTCTTCATTTCTGTTATAAAATTTTGCAAATAAATCTTTTTCATAACTTTAGGCCAAAATATATTCTTCTGCATTTCCTTGGTGAAAATAACCCAAATCAGTATTTATTATTAAGCCTGTAGGAAAGTTATAGAGTCTACAAACTATGGTATATATCTGAAAATTAATCAATCCTGAAGTATTGACAATTTAATTTTTTGAGGCCCAAAAATGTCAGGATAGTACAGATATTACCCTTTTTGCAAAGTAGACAGTCTGAGGTATTTAGTAAGAGGCATGGTGAGTTTATTTGTAAGTTGTAATTTTTTGTCTTAATTTTTTGGAAGCTGAAGAATTCAACACAATTTTTTTTTTTCAATATACTGTCACCAATGCAGTACAGTGTCACCATATAACTGGTGTGGCGGTGATCAGGGACACTGACTGGTGACAGTAAGGGGGGAAAAAAAATATTTTTTTTTTGTTTTTTTATTATTTATTACAGGTACTTATATAGCACGCCATCAATTTACGCAGAATTTTACATATATTGAACAATCACTTCGGTCCCTAAACTTTAAATGGCGTAAAATCTAAATTCCCTAACTTACATTCATACATACACATACTAGGGCCAATTTAGACAGGATCTAATTAACCTACCAGCATATCTTTGGAGTGTGGGAGGAAACTGGAGGACCCGGAGGAAACCCACGCAAGCACAGGGAGAAAATGCAAACTCTAGGCAGGTAGTGCTGTGGTTGGAATTCAAACCAACGACCCTAGTACTGACAGGCGGAGGTGCTAATCATTTAGCCACGGTGCTGCTTTTACATTTTTTTTTCTTTCTTTTTCTTTCATAACACGGTGTGACCAGAGTAATATAATGTTACATAGTAACATTGTACTACTCGGTGGAAGTGATCAGTATTTATGATTGCTTACAGCAAAGAATTGCTTTGCTATAAGCAAGATTTTAACCGAATGAAATAAATTAATTCAGGGTTTTTTGTTGTGATTAGCAGTGATTGACCACAGTTAATCGCATGACACAGATGGGCTGTGATTGGCCCAGTCTGTACATGTCATCACTGTGACCAATCACAGCTAGTACCACAATTGTATACAATGGATAGGATGAAAGGAAGCCATCCATTGTTTACAATTTTCATGTGATCTACTGTGATTGGTCACAGCGGTCACATGGTATTGGTAACGAGTCGCTACACAGATCTGTGATCTACTGTCTCTGAGGTACACAGCCAGTGACAGATCTCGCCACAGCACAGCCCTATGGATCGACAGGAGGCCTGCTCGGCCGTCATTTTGCTATTGGCTGGGGGCGAGAACAGGTTAAGTGGATCTAAATCCTGGAAGGCAGAGGCGGGCTTTCAAATCATCTGATTACTGTGACTGGCAGCCATACTGGTCACATGATTGGAAAGCTCCTGGTCACAAGTATGCATCAGGAGCTTTCCAGTACCCATTGGTTACTGTGCTGGGAGAACATAGAGCACAGTAAAGTGTTTACAAATAGATGCATATATGCGGCTGCTCAGCGTTAAAGGTCCACCTGACGAGAGGCCGCATATATCCGCCAGGTCAACGAGAACTGATTAAAGGAAGGTTAGTCCCACGCATTTCCTGGTGGCCACTCACAACTGTGGTCTTGTGTATCCTACAACAAACACACACAGGCGGAAATAATCTTATTAATAATACTGTGTTGCCTAGGATTTCTGACGCCTTCGATCTTCAAAAACACTTCATAAATGTACATATACTCTTACAGGTAGTGTATAGTACTTGCACACCATATGCACAACCTGTGAAGCTTATTTGTACAGCACACTGTATGCAGACTTACCGGGTTGCTCGTTCAGAAAGTTTGACCTCCAACTGATGGCCATCCACTGTGCAATGCTGTTGAAAAGAAAATGCACATGGTTATAGGTTCACCTCAGAGATTTTCCTTGTGTTCTAACAATCCTATTATTATTTATTATCCATCTACATATAATGCACCAAACTGCTCCCATGATTTTTGCAATTCAAATAAAGTGGTTTTCAAGGCAATTGAATACATATGCTAAATTGTTGAAATATAAAATGATCTGACACAAGTTGTCCTCTTCTTTCAGTTTAACCATTAGTTTCTCGTTATTTGCTTTGACTATCCATTATTCACAAAAACCACACTGATGTAACTTTTCCACTGAACAAAACTCTAGCAAAAGAGCAAGATTATGGTATTATGAAGGGGAAAAAAATTTAAATTTTGGCTAAAACACAAGGAAACTAAAAAGCAATCCATGTATCAAAATAAATAGAAGAAACAGTCAGGTCCATAAATATTGGGACATCAACACAATTCTAACATTTTTGGCTCTATACACCACCACAATGGATTTGAAATGAAACAAACAAGATGGGCTTTAACTGCAGACTGTCAGCTTTAATTTGAGGGTATTTACATCCAAATCAGGTGAACGGTGTAGGAATTACAACAGTTTGCATATGTGCTTCCCACTTGTTAAGGAACCAAAAGCAATGGGACAGAATAATAATCATAAATCAAACTTTCACTTTTTAATACTTGGTTGCAAATCCTTTGCAGTCAATTAGAGCCTGAAGTCTGGAACGCATAGACATCACCAGACGCTGGGTTTCATCCCTGGTGATGCTCTGCCAGGCCTCTACTGCAACTGTCTTCAGTTCCTGCTTGTTCTTGGGGCATTTTCCCTTCAGTTTTGTCTTCAGCAAGTGAAATGCATGCTCAATCGGATTCAGGTCAGGTGATTGACTTGGCCATTGCATAACATTCCACTTCTTTCCCTTCAGTCATCCACCACAGTTGTTTTTCGTGGTCTTCCGATTCTTTTGGTGTTTCTGAGCTCACCGGTGCGTTCCTTCTTTTTAAGAATGTTCCAAACAGTTGTTTTGGCCACGACTAATGTTTTTGCTATCTCTCTGATGGGTTTGTTTTGTTTTTTCAGCCTAGTGATGGCTTGCTTCACTGATAGTGACAGCTCTTTGGATCTCATCTTGAGAGTTGACAGCAACAGATTCCAAATGCAAATAGCACACTTGAAATTAACTCTGGACCTTTTATCTGCTCATTGTAATTGGGATAATGAGGGAATAACACACACCTGGCCATGGAACAGCCGAGAAGCCAATTGTCCCATTACTTTTGGTCCCCTAACAAGTGGGAGGCACATATGCAAACTGTTGTAATTCCTACACCGTTCACCTGATTTGGATGTAAATACCCTCAAATTAAAGCTGACAGTCTGCAGTTCAAGCACATCTTGTTAGTTTCATTTCAAATCCATTGTGGTGGTGTATAGAGCCAAAAATGTTAGAATTGTGTCGATGTCCCAATATTTATGGACTGACTGTATATACATTACTTCACATATTTGCACTTATTAAGATCTGTTTACATTTTCAACAACCAGTGATGTCAGGCCCATACGTAGATAATTTTTCCAGCAACTACATTATTCATCATATATAGGTCCTGTTCACATAACCTTCTCAATCCCCTTCAGTCTGCATTTCACCCACAAACACTTCACAAAAAACTGCTCTCCTAAAACTCACAAACAACTTACTAACAGCTAAAACCAATGGTCACTATTCCGTACTCTTACTCTTGGACCTCTCCACTGCTTTTGACATAGTTGACCACCCCCTCCTCCTCAAAAAACTATTTGTTTGGTCTCTGTGACTGTATTCTCCTTTGGTTTGAATCTTACCTATCTCATCGCACCTTCAGTGTCACTTACAGCTCTGCTTCCTCCTCTCCTACTCCTCTTACTGTCAGGGTCCCCCAAGGTTCTGTCCTTGGACCTCTCCTATTTTCGATCTACACTTCATCCTTAGGCCAGCTGATAGCTTCCCATGGCTTACAATATTATTTCTATGCTGATAACACTCAAATCTATCTCTGTAATCCTCAGCTCACCCCATCAGTTTCCACACGTATCACCGATTTACTACCAGACATATCAGACTGCGTGTCACACCACTTCCTAAAACTCGATCTATCCAAAACTGAGCTCATAATATTTCCTCCACCACGTGCCTCTTGCCCTGAATTCTCGGTTAGGATCAATAGCACCACTATCAACCCACCCCTGCATGCGAGGGTGCTAGGGGTAACCCAGGATTCTGAACTATCCCTTACAGGCCCACATCCAATCCTTGTCCAAATGATGCCAGCTCAGCCTCCGCAACATCTCCAAAATACGCCACTTTTTAACCAATGATACCATAAAGCTCCTAATTCACTCCCTGGTTATCTCTCGCCTCAACTACTGCAACTCCCTCCTCATTGTTTTATCCTCATTGGCTTGCCTTAACATAGGCTATCCCCTCTCCAGTCCATCATGAATACTGCTGCCAGGCTCATCCAACTTACCAGCCGTTCAGTGTCTGCTACCCCTCTCTGCCAATCCCTCCACTGGCTTCCACACACCCAACGAATAAAACCACTTACAAAGCCATCCACAACTCTGCCCCAAGCTACACCACTAACCAATCTGCTCTCTTAGGTCCTCCCAAGACCTTCTGCTCTCTAGTTCCCATGTCACCTCCTCCCATGCTCACCTCCAGGACTTCTCCTGAGCTTCTTCCATCCTATTGAACTCCCTACCCCAATCAAACTCCCTAGCTGCTATCTCCTAATTTATCCACCTTTAGACAATCCAAGACAATCCCTGAAAACCTCTCTCTCTTTAAAGAAGCCTATCCTGCTTCTAACTAGTAAACTGCCTTTTTTTCCTCCATCAGCTCATCCCCCCACAGCTATTACCATTTGTATCACTCAACCCTTCCTCCCAGATTGTAAGCTCTAACAAGCAGGGCCCTCTGTTTCCTCTTGTAACAAATTGTATTGTAACTGTAATTTCTACCTTCATTTTGTAAAGCGCTGCGCAAACTGTTGGCGCTATATAAATCCTGTATAATAATAATATAATAACAATACATGTGAACAATTATCGGCCAGTTATTGACTCTAGAGGAGCAATCTAAAAATGCCTATGAGTCTTGAGGTGTGGCATCCTTAAATTGCTTATGCTTTTTACACTATAGAGGCATAGTTAAAAGAATTAAAAAAGACCTACTTGCAACTGTCGCAGGGCTTTTTGGGCTTGTTCTGGCTTCTTATATTCCACAAAACCAAAGCCCATAGATAGAAGTATACCTGTAAGAAATGAAACACCTTAAAATAACAGAGTAAATAAAAAACAAAACACTTGTCATAATAGCACAAGCCAAATAGAAGAAATCCTTTTAAAATTACATTATCTGAATAGTTTCCAATATACTAAACTACACTTTAGTTAAGGTAATTCATTTAGAGAACAGAAGACTAACAAATTGAGCATTCTTCAAAAGAGGGCAGACCACTAACACTGTAGTTAACCTCTTGCCGCCCACACAACAACGCATATATGCAGTGGAAAAAAGAGGTGGGTTTTAATGCCCACAGGCCGCAAATATGCGTTTATGGGCAGCAGAGATTTCTATGTTGAGAGTGTGCTCACTGCATGCTCCCAGCATAGTGACCAAGCTGTCAAAGACAGCTACCAGTCTCTACTAATTAGTGGTAACCAACAGGACCAGCTCCTGACCATGTCATCACAGTGGTCACGTGATCACATTTGCACTTTTCAAAGAAAAAAAAAATCTTCTAGAAATTAGCTTTTTAGTCAATAGGGATATATTCATACCAGCCGCTGAGTTACAGTGCAGCAGCTGGTGTGCAGCGGATCGACACATTTTCTTTTCTTTTTTTAAACAAACTTTATTGCAATGTCACACAGACATCGCATAAAGTTCAACTGCCAGGCCATATGGTCAGAGGTGATGGACTGCACTGCACTACACTGGAAAAAGGTACTGCTCACAGTGGTATGAACAGTGCAGATGAGGAGACAAGGTATTTTTCCTCGTCATGAGGTGGGACTGAGCTCGAATAGTTGGATTTTAGGGGGAGCCCATTTGTTTTTAAAACTTTTGGTGTGGAGTCCCCCTTAAAATCCATACCAGAATCAAAGGGCCTGGTAAGGATTGTGGAGGACCCCCTACGTTGCCTTATTTTTTACTGTTGGGGTGCCTTGCTTACATATTGCTGTCAGCTGGGAATCCCCTCTGACAGCAGCAATGACTCACTGCTTGTTAAGGACCCAGAGGGTGCCAGCTCCTTAACAACCAGCTATTAGTGCAAAGATCATCACAAATTTGTATACGAACATATCATTTAAAAGAATAGTGCATGCTGTATTTGAGTAGCGGTTTTTTCTTTAACCCCTTCACGCCTAAAGGTAAAACAAATCTTAACGTCTAAACACAATTTTGCAACTTAGATATGTGTTAGTAAAACTGTACATATCATCACACTACTTTGTACATTCAAGTGAATTATATCTTGTTTTTTTCAGGACAAATTGGGCTTTTATTTGGTGGTAAATGGATATCTCCTGATTTTTTTTTATTATCAAAGGAAAACTGGCCCAAAATAGTAGCTGCATGTTTCTTGTTATTACCATAACCTACTCCAAAGAACAACCCAAAATAAAATTTCCAATTTTTGTTTCTTTTTTTTTTTTTTTTTTTACCTAAAACACACTGACACTGATACCAATTAAAAAAAAAAAAAACCTTTGATCCTGACCTTGACCCAAACACTAATCCTGGCAAGGAACTAGACCAAAGCTTGATCTAAGTATTTTTACTTTTTTAAATATCTATTTTTTTTAAACAGTTTTTTTTTTCCTCTATGCAAGGAGAGAGAGATACAATAAATCTCTCTCCTCCATTCAGAGAGAAAAAAAAAAAACAAGGGGGGCGGGGCTTCACAGTGACTGATCACTGTGATAGCCAATCAGAGGCTATCACAGCAATCATGTGACCTGGAATCGGGAGTCCCGGGTCTCGATTGCTAAAACGGGACCCAGGGCTCTCAGTGACACCCAGGTGTTTGTGCTGGGAGTGCGCTGTGCTCGTAACACAAAGGTATGCAAATATGCGGCCCCATGGACAAAAGCCCAGTTCTGTGAGGCGGCATATTTGTGTTACGTTGGTGTGAAGGGGTTAATAAATTGATAAAGTTTTAGGAAAATACACCATGATCCATTTTACCTCTATTTTTGGTGCAGTATGTAAGTTTTAGTGAATTGAGTCCCCAGTGAGATTCAACAGACCAATTTACCCAGATTACCAAATGTCTGGGTAACATTCCACAGAATCATTCACTCAGGTTAAAATCTGGCCACAATTCAACAGATTAACACACCAAGATGACCAAAAGCCCAAGTAATGTTCCAACGTTTAAAGAGTCACCCCCAGACTACCAAAAGTTAATTTAACATCCCATGAACCCATTCACCAAAATCACCAAAGGTTTGGATGATATCCTACAGATCCATTACCAAAAGACCAGGTAACATTTCACAGACTCATTTACTCAGATTACAATCCACATATCACCGAAGGCCCAGTCAACAATTCATGGACTACTTCACCCAAACTGGCAAAAGCCTGGCTGCCCACCAAAGTCAACTCACCTTGTTTGTCTTTCTTTTTTGAAATGCTACAAGATTTCACAGCTCCAATTTTCGAAAAGACCTAAGAAGAAAAATACTAGGTTACAATTACTTATTTATAGCAGGAATACATAAATCTAGTTTAAAAAAAGTGTGTCTAAAATGCTCTATAAAAAAAAATAACCATTCTCTAAAACCTTTTTCAAGCAAAAACAAGAAACGGCACATCTCTTACCTCTCTAAGTGTTTCCTCGCTGGTGTTAAAATTTAGGTTTTTAATAAATAATGTACAGCCAAGAAGCGTTTCTTCCTCCTCAGATTCACTCTGTCTGTCAGTCTGAGCTTCTTCATGTCCTGGGATAATGTTATCTACAAAAAATACCTATATTGTAAGGGTCTGTATGTACATGTGCTAGTGTGAAATAGGATTCTGTACTCACTGTAAATCCTTTACTTGGAATCTATTGAGGGACACCACAAGTCTCGGTTCTGGTTATACTGTTACCTATAGGAGGATTTAACACTGACAAACAAAAAAGTGGAAGCCAAACTAGGATAACCCTTTCCACTACCAGCATGCATCAGATTATTAGCAAAGCAGTACCAAGAGCATGATTATAAAAACACAGGGTGGGGCCTGTGTTCCTCAATGGACGCCAAGAAAAGGATTTTATGATGAATACAAAAATCCCATTTTCTTTCTCATCCATTCAGTGTGCAACACAGCAAACACTAATGGGCCCAAAGCTGGCATCAGATGAGGAAAAAATGTTCACTTGGCAGATTAAAGAAAAATGTGTGAATAGAAGATCAGGTGGAAGTATTGCAAATTTGGGAAACATATGCTATGAGGCCCAAGAAGCACTCAAAGATCTAGTAAAATGCATCTTGAGAGGAAAGGGTGGATCCCAGCTTTGAGACCAAAAACCTGGATAATGGTCTGCCTGATCCAGCTACAGGTGCAATCAGAGACCAGTACATCCTTATGAGCTATATCTGGAACTAAATAAAGGGAATCAGTCTTCCAGAAAGACGCAGTGGCTGATAGACAGACTGTTAAGGCTGGAACCATGACCAGACAATGTAGGGACATTTCCTTCAGGTAAACTGGAGCTAGACACAGGGATGGGACTTGGTTGAGGTAAAAAGTGGAAACTTAGGCAGGAAGTCCTTAGGACCATCTCCCCCAATGCCAAAGCAGAAAAGCTTTCTCGCAGGATAAGACCACCAGGGTTGAGAGGTGATGGCTACAAGAAACAACACCTGTTTAGTGAAAGTGAAGAGAGGAATGGTCTTTATGGGGTTCAAACAGAGTTTTTGAAGAGAACCAGATTCAGAACCCATGAAGTCACAGGGGAATGGACTAGGGGAGCTATATGGGAGGCACCCTGTACAATCAAAGACTGAGAAACCAACGACCTCTGAAACAGAATAGAAAGTTCAGAAACCTTACCCTTGATAGTGCAGACAGTCAAATACTGATCCAGATACAGCTGCAATAATTTGTTCCCATCCAGAAACCTCTGGGTTGGAAGCGCAGAGATTCACACCAAGTAGGTATGTCTTCAATGCCCAAATGATAGAACTTGCAAGAAATAGACTTCCTAGCGTTTATCATCATAGGAATCACAGACTTAGAGATGTTCCTGTTTCTCAAAACCAGGGCATCATCAGCCTTGTAATTAAAGTGAGGGACTGTGAAGCAGGATGGCAAATCCCTCTATGGCAATGAATATGCTGACTATTCAGCAGAGCCATGGAGCGTTTGCCTAGAATGGTTGCTGTACCCTATCCACCTGGGCCGGTGTTAAGGAATGAGGAACACAGTCAATCTTGTGAAGGAAATTAGGGAAAAGTTTCAGGAAAGGAAAGGCCTATATCAGGTTGTACAGATCCCATGGAGCCACAAGAACATCCAAGGTTTCCGAAAGAGGATCCCTGTACCTGGAAACAAACTTGTCAAGTTTTTGTTGTTAAACCTGGAGACCAGGAGGTCCATATCTGGCATTTCCTACCAGCAATAGAGGTCCTGGAACACCTCCAGGTGTATGAACTGCCGGTCGAGAAGTCTGTATGCCCATTGTCTACACCTGGAATTTAAACAGCTAACAAGACTGGAACGTGATGATCTGCCCAGGACAGAATCTGCTCTAAATCTCCTGCTGCAGGAAGACTTCTGCTTTCTTCCTGATGTACACCACCATTGTGATGTTGTCTGGCTGAACTGGGATCAGATGACCTTCAAACAGGATGGCCTAATGCTGCACAGGCAGCTAAATTGCCCAAAGTTCCAGGAGGTTGATCGGATGAAGAAACTCTTAGGATAACAAACTTCCCTGCACTGACAGGGTGCCCTGGACTCCTCCCAACCACACAGACTAGCATCTGCCGTGAGGATCCTTCAAAAGACAATAAGAAAAGACTTCCCTCCATCGCTAAATTCCTGAGCCCCAAAGCCAGACAGATCCTCTTCCTTGATGACAGATGAATTGTTCTGTCCAAAGACTAGATCAACACTTCCTACGACAAGAGAATACTGCATAATAGAAGTCGGAGACGAGAAATGGAGGCGGGGGGGCAGGGAGTGATACTACAGGTTGTTGTCCTGGCATACCACCTCCTGCACCCAGGCATCTGAGAAGCAAGCTGTCCAATTGTCCACAAAGGTTAATAAAAATTTATAAAGAAAGGCTTGTCCAAGGATTTAGCAGACTTTGGACACCAAGATTTAAGTGGATCGAGAGGCTCAATGTTGAGCTCAAGTGAATGGAGAAATGACGGATGTTTCTTGTCAGATAGATATAGGGGTTTCTTCAACTGAGAAAGATGGGTGCCCTTGCTACTAGGAGAATCCTTGATGTCAGGAGATGGTCAGAAGAGATGCTGTCCCTTGAAAACCATGCATATCAAATATTTTTTTTTGCACAAAGGTTTCACAGTAAAGCCATATAGCAAAAGTGCCCTTTGCATTTGCAGTGACGTGACACATGATAGAAATGAGACAGAGGGTTTAAGCAAACCATCACAGCTGATGTTTAATGTTATGGTCATCTGCTCTAAGCATTCTATAAGAGAAATCAACAGTAACAAACAAACAGTTAGATCTCCCTTAAGGAATTTTGATCAGTCAGACAGGGTTTGACAAAGTAAAGTCACAGCCAGAATCAGATAAATGGCAGGACTGGACACTGCCAGATCCACATATTGGTAGACCACTAATGTATAAAACCTTCACAAAATATACAGAAGGCTAATAAGCACTTAGGGGGAGCAAATCACTTATCAGGATGCTTCCAGTCTCCATAGAAAAATAGCTGAAAAAGCTGTTGCAAAGGGAAAACCTTACAGCCTTAGGAGTTTAAAGCAATCCAAAACTGGACACAGCATTGGTAGAAGCAACAGGCTGAACCTCTAAATTCAGAGTAGTGTGCTCTGCATCAACAAGTGATAAAATGCTCTTCTACACTTTGGAAGTATTAGTAGTGAACTGTAACTCCTCAGGAGTAAGCTCTGTGGCTAATAGCTTGCATGCCACAAAGACATGTTTAAATCTAAAATGGAGTCTGCAGAAGGGAATATAGGAGAACGCTTGTGGCCTCTACTGTCAGAGTCAGTAAATCATGCCAAAGCCTTGATGACCATGACCATGATGGAGAGGGGAGTGGATCCAGCCACACCTGACAGAGCCAAAGATGACTCCAAGGAGAGACAAGATCGTAACAGCAGAGGAAAACATAATTCTAGGCTGCAGACATTGGCACAGTCAGTAAGCACACTGCAAGCAGGCCAAGAGACATTAGTAGAAAGTAAGTTGGGGGAACTGTGGTACAGCGGGACTGTCTCGTCTGTGTCTGAAATCACGCATGTTGCCACCGCCTAGTAGTAAAGCAACATATAGACTTAGAGTTAGAGGCAAGACCTCAGGTACTCACAAAACCCACACAGCTTTTAGCAGATGAGGGTTGGATGGCCATAGGTGACAAAAGTCCCTGTAGGCGGGAAGCAAAAACCAAAGACTGAATTTCCACGTGGCCCTTTGCAAGCAGAAGCAGCAGTGGGAAGACGCTTCCTCAGTGCAGTTTGGCAGGAAAGAGAAAAGAGTGCGTGACACCATCTAGCAGGTTACGTCAGCGCTCAGTCCTGTTAACCCCCTTGCATCCAGCAGGTTAAATCAGTGCTCAGTCCTGTTAACCCCGTCCACATCAAAAGCAGAGGGAACAAAAATGCTCAGTAACTGAGGTAGCTCCCAATGCTCAGAGCTCGACTGACCTACTCACTTAGCTTGTTTTCATGGACAGAGCATGCACTGAGGCAATACCAGCAGCTCTGGACCTTAAAAAGCACTCTGCAGATAACTTTTACCAAAACAGAGCCTGGAAAGAGTCCTATGTGGAAACTAGTGCCTGAAGGTCACTTTCAAGCTGTCCCCATAACTTTTAGTCCAGTGGAGTCCAGATGTGGTACTCCAAAATGCCAAACTGAGGATGCAAGCACTAAGATCAGCAACTGAAAAGACAAAGTTTTATCAGAGATGCAGAGAAGATTCTTGATCATAGAAAAGAAAGTACAAAAAAGTGGTAGCAAAAAAATAAGTTTGTCTTTAACACAGTAGAGATGCAGAAAAGACACTCGTCCTCCAAGGACGCTAACAAAATACTGGAAAGCTGTCAGGTTGGGAAGTTAACTTGGACTGGCCTAGAGTTTTTTTCGTTTGCCAGTGTCCAATCCCCTTGTAGGAAACAGCATAACCCAAAATTTAAAGGTTTCCTGTTTGCCTCAATGGATTAGAAAGAAAGATACAGTGCCATAATAAAGAAAGTCTGTCACCATCCTAATTTACTTTAAATAACTACCTTTCTCACTGCCAGAGTCTCCAATTTTCTTTCTTGGAGGTACAGCTGCGTAAGAATTTTCTGCATTCAACACCTTTGGAATATATGGTCCCCCCTGTACTCTCTGGTTTCATCCGCTGACACCTATGTCTCTACATGACATAGTAATGATGCAAGGGGTCAGCGGATGGAATGTGCAGGAAGTATCAAAAGCTTTTTACTGCAGGCAGCTTTTTTTTTCAGTTTTATATAGGTGGTGATACGGGACCATTTCAAGTCCAGACACTTTTACCCCCTTCCTGTCCAGGCCAATTTTCAGCTTTCAGCGCTATCACACTTTGAATGACAATTACGCAGTTATGCAACACTGTACCCATATGAATTGTTTAGCATTTTTTTGAGACAGATAAAGCTTTATTTTGGTGGTATTTATTCACCACTGGGGTTTTTATTTTTTTGGCTATATAAATGAAAATGTCCAAAAATTTGGAAAAAAAAAGTGTTTTTCTTATAAAATTTTGCAAATAAATATTTCATCATAAATCTTGCCCAAGATTTATTCAGTTATCTTTTTAGAAAAAAAAATAACCCAAATTAGTTTATAACCAAAAATTAAGTTTTTGGTTATGTTTTTTTTTTAATTTACATTATTATGTTTTTTTTTTTTTTGTTCTACATACTGTCACCCTAGCAGTACAGTGTCACCATGGTGATACTGTACTACTTTTGGGGGGTGAGGAAGATTTTTTTTTTTTTTTTTTTTTTACACTGATTGCTTTTACACCCATAAAGGCTGTAAAAGCAATCATTTCTCCTTCTCTCTGGCTGCATTCTTGCAGCCATTGAGAACTACTGTGTGAGCTGTGATTGGTCACAGCTTGTCACATGGTACAAGGCTGTTGTGAATAGCCTTGTACCATGTGACCTCTGTGATCATTCACAGATTTCACACGTAGTAAGCAATGATGTCAGAAGTGACATCTTGCTTACTACTCTGCATTCGATCACTGATTGGCCCAGGGCACGCACAGTCCAAAATGGCGGGTGCCATTTATGAACGGCAACCCACCCCTGGACTGCCACCGTCCGGCCGTTTATATACAGCGGCCGGACGGCAAGTGGTTAAAGGAATTTATAGGAGTTCAGACAAGATGTAGAATAAAAATGCAGCTTTACTGGAATTTTCCATTTAAATGCTGTAAGGATAACAAAGCTAGCACATTCATCCTCTGTCTTCTCACCTTTTTCTTCTTTTGCAGGCTTGTCCTCATTTACCAGTTCAGTTTTCTTTCCTGTAGGTGGGGTGTTAAACACATTCATAGGAGCCCATTCCAGGTACAGAGGCACATGCTGAAACTGGTATTAAAAAGGCAGTGCTGAAGTCAGCATGCAATGACACAAAGTGGAGAAACAAAAGCACAACAATGCACAATTCATTAATTTGATGAAAAAAAATATTCCAAGTATTATAAAGCAAAGTAAATTAAATAGCCAAGAAAAGTAAAGTAGTATAATATGATGAAGATTTTGTGCTTATTTATCAACATACACAATCTTGTTGCTGTGATTTTCATGGCGTAGTACATGTTTCTACACATTTAAAAAAAAGTTAAACTGTTACATGATTCCCAGGTAAATAAATCAATTAGATTTCTGAGGGTTGTGTCATATTTTTCACACAAGTCTTTAAGCAGAGATCAATGGACCAATTTTACTGGAAATTCTGAAGTTTGAAAAAAAAATAAGGCAGTCAGCCAGACCTATCAGGTATTAGCATGTCATCTGCACACAGGGATATTGGTTCCTTCAATTTTGAGGCCTGAACTGTTGTCAATGTTTTTGTAAGTTAGTAAGGTAGTTCCACAATCCAGGCTTAGATAAATCTTCCCAGAACAGAAGATCAAAATGTTAGGAACCAGAAACAACGTGGCTTTGCTCTTAAAGCCTGTGTACGTAGGAGGGTCTGGTCACTATATTTAAACGGATGGCAGGCATATGTGGACATACAGTGGACACAGGCCTGCTTGGGTGAATTGCTAAAAAGGCTTACAGGCAAAGTAGCATGATGCAGTGGAGTATTTTGTTTGATCACCACAGACAACTTAAAATAATTTTTAAAAAGCTGTTGATGCATTTAAGGAGTGTGTTATTGTCACAAACTGGCCTGTACAGAATAGGAACTACAGTACATCTTTATATGTACAGTCATGGCCAAAAACGTTGGCACTCCTGCATTTGTCAGATATTGCACCACTTTGCCCAGAAAACTCTTGCAATTACAAATGTTTAGGTATTCCCGTGTTTATTTCTTTTGATTGTATTGGTATGACACAAAAAAGTGAGAAAAAAAAATCCAAATCTGACATGCAAAACCCCAAAAATGGACTGAACAAAATTATTGGCGCCCTAAATTTAATATTTGTTAGCACACCCCTTGTAAAAAATAACTGAAATCAATCACTTTCTGTAACCATCAATGAGTTTTTCACACCTCTCTACTTGAATTTTGGACCTCTGTTCTTTTGCCAACTGCTCCAGGTCTCTAAGATTTGAATGATTCCTTTTCCCAACTGCTGTTTTGAGATTTCTCCACAGATGTTCTATAGGATTGAGATCTGGACTCATTACTAGTCAGTTCAGTATTCTCCAGTGCTTTGTTTGAAACCATTTCTGGGTGCTTTTTGACGTGTGCTTTGGGTCACTGCCCTGCTGTAAGACCCATGACTTCTGACAGAGACCAAACTTTCTGACACTGGGCCCTACATTGCACCCCAGAATTCTTTGGAAACCTTCAGATTTCATAATGCCATCCACACAGTCAAGACATCCAGTGCCTGAAGCAGCAAAGCAACCCCAAAACATCATGGAACCTCCAACATGTTTGACTGTAGAGACTGTATTCTTTTCTTTAAAGACCTCATTTCTTTTTCTGAAAACAGAAGAATGATGGGCTTTAACAAAAATCTGTAATTTTGCGTAGTCTGTCCACAGCATTCTCCCAAAAGGATTTTGGCTTCCTCAGGTAAGTTTTGACAAACTCCAATCTGGCTTTTTTATGTCTCTTTGTCAGCAGTGGAGTCCTCCTGGGTCTCCTACCATAGCGTCCATTTTCATTCAGATGGCGACATATAGTACAAGCTGCAAGTGTACAATCCAAACGCATACGTTCTTGCGTTAAAAATGGTTGTGTGTGTGTGTGTGTATATAAGTGGGTGTTGCAGCGACAGTCGGCTGGAACCGAACAGAATCAGCCAGGGAGAATGTCACCAGCAGACCAAGGATCACCAATATGGGTCCAAAAGTTTTAATGAACGATCACATAGTTACAACAAGGCAGTGTTTTGATGTCTCACAAGACCCTTTCATCAGGCATGATGAAGGGGTCCTGTGAGACTCCGAAACGTTGCCTTGCTGTAACTATGTGATCGTTCATTAAAACTTTTGGACCCATATTGGTGATCCTTGGTGTGCTGGTGACATTCTCCCTTTTATAGTACGAGCTTACGTCAATATTCTCCATTTTAACTGATTGCCGGTGTGATTTCTATATTGTCAGCATCTGTTAACTTAAACAGGTGAGTTTAGTTACAAACTACAGGAGCATCACAAACTTGGAACACAATTATTTCTTACAATTCTGAGAAGGTGTCAATAGTTTTGCCCAGTCCATTTTTGGGGTTTTAGGTGGAATGTGTCAGATTTGGTTTTTTGTTTCTCCACTTTTTTGTGTCATATCAAAACAAACAAAAGAAATAAACATGGATTGCCTAAACATTTGTAATTGCAACAATTTGCAGGGACAAAGTGGTGCAATATCTGACAAAAAAGCAGGGGGTGCCAATATTTTTGGCCATGATTGTAGCTTGAAGTAAGTTTAAAGATGTTAGGCAACTTGAATGCTCCTTACTTTTCCTTGATTTCACAGAATGTTTTTGAGCAGCAGCCTTCCTGCAGTTATGTTACATTTAACCTTCTTCCTTCATACTATGATGCCTCAATTTTAAGTCTCTCCTGATATGGCCCATGCCATATTATAGTACTATGAACCATCCTTTGCAACGGATTAGTTGAAGCTAAGGTAATACGTGACTTGCTGTGTTGAGTTAAAGAATGGCAGCCAGCGAGACACTTGTATAGTGCATGAGATCCAAAGACTTGCAATCCAGGTTGGGGGTACGGTATGACAGGACATTCTGGTCACCTGAAATACACTATATTGCCAAAAGCATTGGGACACTCTTCCAAGAAATCATTGGATTCAGGTGTTCCAATCACCTCCATGGCCATAACTGTATAAAATCAAGCACCTAGGCATGCAGACTGCTTCTACTAACATTTATGAAAGAATGGGTCGCTCTCAGGAGCTTAGTGAATTCAAGCGTGGTACTGTGAGAGGTTGCCACCTGTGCAATATCCCATCCGTGAAATTTCCTTGCTACTAAATATTCCACGGTCAACTGTTAGTGGTATTATAGCTGGGAACTGGGAAACAGCAGAAACTGGGAACAGCAGAAAGTCAGCCACGAAATAGTAGGCCACGTAAAATACCAGAGTGGGGACAGCGCATGAAGTCGTCAACTGTCTGCAGAGACAATAGCTAAAGACCTTAAAACATTGTGTGGCCTTCAGATTAGTGCAACAACGGTGCATAGAGAGCTTCATGGAATGAGTTTCTATGGCCGAGCAGCTGCATCCAAGCCTTACATCACCAAGTGCAATGTAAAGCATCGGACGCAGTGGAGTAATGCCGCTACTGGACTCTAGAGCAGTGGAAAAGTGTTCTCTGAAGTGACTAATCATGCTTCTCTGTCTGTAAATCCAGTGGACATGTCTGAGTTTGGTGGTTACCAGTGAAGGGGGCTCTTAAGCGTTGGCATACCAAGACATTTTGGACAATTTCATGCTCCCAACTTTGTGGGAACAGTTTGGGGATGGCCCCTTCCTGTTTAAACATGTCTGCGCACCAGTGCACAATACAAGATCCATAAAGACAAGGATGAGTGAGTTTGGGGTGGAGGAACTTGACTGGCCTGCACAGAGCCCTGACCTCAACCCGACAGAACACCTTTGGGATGAATTAGAGCGGAGACTGCGAACCAGGCCTTCTCCTCTGACATCAGTGCCTGACCCCACAAATGTGCTTCTGGAAGAATGGTCAAACATTCCCATAGACACACTCCTAAACCTTGTAGACAGCCTTACCAGAAGAGTTGAAGCTGTTATAGCTACATAGGGTGAGCCAACTCAATATTGAGCTCTACAGACTAAGACTGGGATGCCATTAAAGTTCATGTGCGTGTAAAGGCGGGCTTTCCAATAATTTTGGCTATATAGTGTATGTCTAGTCCTGCACTAAAGAGTCTGCTGATAAGGGAAATGACAAGTGCAGAAATTTTTTTGGATGGGAAATTATCTAGTTGTCAGGGTGAATAACAGTTGTTCATCCTTATCCTGGCATTAAAAGAGAAGTATAGCCAAAGCTTTTTTAGCTATACTTTTATGAATCACAGGAGTGCAGTTAGTTCTGCACTTCTGTAACCCGTCTTCAGCCGACAGTGGGCTAAAGCCCACTGTCAGCTGACGTCACAGAGCTGGTGCAGGCTCTGAAAAGATTCCAACAATATGGTTGGGATCCACCCAGAACCGGCACCTGACTCAGATCCTCAGCAATCAACAGAGAGCCAGAGCCAGCCTCTACCACCCTCTGGACAGCCCAGTGGTCCAGTGAGCGCTGAGGGGGCAAAGCAGAGAGCCAGAGACTGACAGTCCCAGCTCTCTGCTCAGAGCAGAGGGGGAGAACTGAGTGATCACAGTATTTGATCACTCAGTTCTCTGTGCAGAGCTGGAGGAGGACAAAGGTAGCACTGGGTCAATGCTGCATCCACCTAGGTGAGTATAATGATTTTTTTTTTATTTATACAGCCCATACTTCTTTTAAGTTGCAAATGATAGGATTACTATCTAACCTGTCCCACACTCAGCAAGCCACAATTTTTTTACAAGAAATAAAAGGAGCTAATATTAAACAAATATAAGGGCTGGATCTGTACCTTTTAAAATAAAGAAGAGGATTTTACAGGGAAGACAAAAATCCTTTTTTTAAAATTTAATTAAAAGCCAACTCAGGGACATAATAAAACATGCCAAGAAAAGGCTTAAAGAAACTCTGGGAGCAATCAAAACAGGCACCAGAATAGGCCTGAACATCCACTTAACAAGGGTGTAAGCAGAAGACCAGATGGCCACCTTTCGAATCTTAGGGTACTCAAAGCCAAACACTGCTTTAATCTGACTGCTAAAGTACGAGAATTCATCACACAGAGATATTCCTGGGATGGAAGCTGCTGGCTTCTCAG